AAAAAAAAACTGTATTTCTAGTCACGAAATCCCATTGTTTTCTTAAGCTGTTCAAATAAATGATTCAGCGAAAAAAAAAAAATGGGCGGGAGTGATAATCTAACAAATTTTTCTATGTACCCTTAGGCCATGCCATTTAACATAGAAATGGCAGATGTATATTGTGATGAATTTATTTTTTAAATATATCAATCAAAGTTGCTTGAACCAATCAGTATTAACTTTACTAAATTTAAAGGATACTCAACAAAACAAAAGCCACAAGGTGTCTTATGTATCTTGTCTAGCCCCATCACAATACGTTTAATATCGCCACATTTTGAAAACAGCTCATGTATTTGCTCTTCTGTGGTGTAGAATGATAAGTTACCAACGTATAGTGTTGTACTTTTGCTAAGCAGCATTTCTTGATCTGTCAGTGTACCCTATGAAAATAAATAGCAACATATTTATAATATTACTGTAGTAACAGTGAGTTATGAGGTGTAAATCCAGAATTCATTTATTTCAGAATATCATGCATCAGTTGAACACCATATATTTATAAAATACTAATTTTACTATTCTATTATTGTACTGTTAAATACAGTATTCTTATCATTATTATTCTAATGACTTCTTTCTAAAATTCATTAGGCCTACACGGGATAATCTTGTCAATAGCGAAGCACAACCTTAGCATAATACTAGTCTACCCAACACAATAGACACCACCTATGTATTCCTATGTAGCTAGCCCTATAGCGTCTTTCATTATAAATTATGTATCTATTATTCTAAACAGAAAAAATAAAAAGTATACCTTAAAGTGCTGGTCTCTATAAGAGCTAAGCTCTACCATACGATCAGAACGAAGCGACATTTTTACCACTTTTATGGAGAAAAATAAGCAACGTACACTCGCACTCTAACAACAACAGGATTTACCTAATTTTGACGCTGAACTCGAGCATGCTCGATTCGATTTGATGATTGCTACATAGCGCCCTCAACATTTTTCTGCGTCGACGTCAAAGATCTTGTTTGTAAGATCTTTGGTCACAAATCTTCACAGAACAAATAACACAGACGGTACTACAGATAAACAAACTAAGTACACAAATATAAACCATACTAAATAATTACGCATAGTTACCAACTTGAGAGATTTTAAATGTGTGACTACACCAGTTGGCTGGGGGGGAGGGGCCGCCGGGCCCAGAGCCGGAGCCGCGGTGGGGGTCCAGGGACTCTCGCTCCGACGATCGCGTTCTCCGATTTTTTCAAACGATTTCGGGAAAAAAAATATTTTTAGTACAGTTTCAATGTACTTCATGTTTAATTTGAGCACCTAAATTATTATGTGCACAAACATTTCATTACTTAAACAAAAATGAATAGGCATACTGTTAATTTTTAGTAACGCGTTAGTGAATTTTAATTGTAAAAGTATTCACTTATTCAAGTTACTGCATGAGCGTTTTTATATTTTAAATACATTTTCCCATATATTCGTTATCACGCATTGACCTGTGCTAAATGTGTGACAAATTTAGGATCACGCATGTGTCTTCTGCAAAATGCGTGTTTCATCCAAAATCTGGAAATGCGGGACCGTCCCGCACGATGCGATGAGACGGTTGGTAAATAGCCTAC